GGGAGTGATTATGTCGGAGGCTCTCACCTTCAAGGACCATAACATTGTATCAATCGCATCTGCTAGAAAAATGACAGGATGGATAATGAGAACCTTCAAAACTAGGGAGGCCAAGCCCATGATGACACTCTTCAGGTCACTTGTTCTATCTAGGCTGGAATATTGCTGCACTCTAACAGCACCTTTCAAGGCAGGTGAAATTGCCGACCTAGAAAATGTACAGAGAACTTTCACGGCGCGCATAACGGAGATAAAACACCTCAATTACTGGGAGCGCTTGATGTTTCTAAACCTGTATTCCCTGGAACGCAGGAGGGAGAGATACATGATTATATACACCTGGAAAATCCTAGAGGGACTAGTACCGAACTTGCACACGAAAATCACTCACTACGAAAGCAAAAGACTTGGCAGACGATGCACCATCCCCCCAATGAAAAGCAGGGGTGTCACTAGCACGTTAAGAGACCATACAATAAGTGTCAGGGGCCCGAGACTGTTCAACTGCCTCCCAGCACACATAAGGGGGATTACCAACAGACCCCTGGCAGTCTTCAAGCTGGCACTGGACAAGCACCTTAAGTCAGTTCCTGATCAGCCGGGCTGTGGCTCGTACGTTGGTTTGCGTGCAGCCAGCAGCAACAGCCTGGTTGATCAGGCGCTGATCCACCAGGAGGCCTGGTCACAGACCGGGCCGCGGGGGCGTTGACCCCCGAAACTCTCTCCAGGTAAACTCCAGGTATGGTGGTACAAGAGGCCATGATGGTACAAGAGGCCAAGATGGTACAACAAGAGGCCAAAATGGTACAACAAGAGACCAGGGTGGTACAACAAGAGGCCATGGTGGTACAAGAGGCCAAGATGGTACAACAAGAGACCAGAGTGGTACAACAAGAGGCCATGGCGGTACAAGAGGCCAAGATGGTACAAGAGGCCAGGGTGGTACAACAAGAGGCCATGGTGGTACAAGAGGCCAAGATGGTACAACAAGAAGCCATGGTGGTACAACAAGAGGCCATGGTGGTACAAGAGGCCAAGATGGTACAACAAGAGGCCAAAATGGTACAACAAGAGACCAGGGTGGTACAACAAGAGGCCAAGATGGTACAACAAGAGGCCAAAATGGTACAACAAGAGACCAGGGTGGTACAACAAGAGGCCAAGATGGTACAACAAGAGGCCATGGTGGTACAAGAGGCCAAGATGGTACAACAAGAAGCCATGGACAGTAAAAGCCCAACAGTTGCCATCCTACCAGAAAAGTAAATGTCACTATCGCCGCAAGGTATGGCAACACCGCATACCTAAACAAAAACAGTGGCACACAGCTCTTATTGTAGCGCTCTTAAGTGGTGATATCCAAATTAATCCAGGACCTCAAACTATTGTGCAGAGGCAAAACAGACAGATAAATGACGGCAATAATGACGGTCTAGTAGCTAGGAATGATAACCTTAACTCCATATGTAATGCATACATAGGTCAATGTGAGACAATACAGCCATTATTATCTCAAACACTACCAAACAGGTGCATACACTGTACTAAAGTACGACAGAAAAGGCACCTTATGTAAAATGTGTAAGGGGTGGGTGCATGATGGATGTATGTACAATTATAGCAACGGTGCCAGAATTCATTTTGTGTGTAACAAATGCACTTTGGCACAGTTACCCTTTAGCAGTGATGACATTGATTTACCTAATTTTAATACAAATGACCCATTGCCATATATTGATGATTATGATTGTTTTATGAAAACAGGCCTTCACTTTATTCATGTCAATGCAAGATCACTTCTTCCTAAATTGGCAGAGATTAGGATTCTAGCTAACAAAATTAGGGGGGCAGTTATAACCATCTCTGAATCTTGGTTGGATGATACGGTGACTGACGACGAGATCAAAATAGATGGTTACAATATAAAACGCTTAGATAGGAACAGAAAGGGTGGTGGAGTATGTGCCTACATTAGAAAAGACTTAGCTTAACCCAAGACCTGATTTAAATAACAATAAACTGGAGATTCTATGGTTTGAAGTGCTGCTTCCTAAGACCAAACCATCTTAGTAGGAACTAGTTACCCCCCTCCTCCCCAGGACCAGTTCTTAGAAGACTTTTCCAGAGTCTTGTCCGGAGTTGAAAACAATTGCGAGACAATAATACTGGGCGACTTTAATATCTGTTTTCAGCAGCAAAATAACGGGTATGCAAAAGGATAAGCAAATTCTGGGGTTTTAAATAGTTACACTCAACTAATTAATCCCCCCCCAACCCGGATCACACAGTTCTCAGCCACCCTAATTGACCACATACTTGTAACCGTTTCTGAAAAACATTAGTCATTCAGGCGTCATTACACAGGTCTTAGTGATCTTTCATCATTTACTGCACCAGGAAAAAAACTAGGGATAGGATAGGCCTACACAGGACAAAAAAATGAGGTCAACTGAAACTACAGTAAAGAAACACTGGTAAATAGGCTACACAATTGTGACGGGGACAGAGATAACAAGTTGCACGGACGTAAACGATCCCTGGGAAAAATTCAAAACAATGTTCACTACCATCCTTGATATATTGCACCAGTTAAAGAGGTTAGGTTTAAAACGAAAAAACTGAACCCTGGATGAATCTGAGTTTATTAGATAATATGAATTCAGGGGACCAGCTGCTAAAAAGATTTAAAGCAAACAGACAGGATATTGCAGCACTAAATGAATTCCAAAGGGTGAGGAACAGAGTTCAGAGACTTAAAAAAGGAGCAAAGGCAAAGCACTACTGCTCAAAAATTGAAGAGTATAAGATAAAAACAGAAAGCTCTGGCAAACAACTAAAACAGTTGGGGTAAGCCATAAGCCAGTAGATAGGTCAAAACATAGTACTCACTATCGATAATGAGGTATGCCACGAAACTCTAAGGTGGCAAATTGCTTTAATTCTACACACATCTGTTGCATAAAACACTAGTAAGTAAATACCAGCTGCATCAAATACTTTAAACACAGACTCTGAAAGTTTCAAAATTTACTATCCCCAATAAAGGGGTAACCCCAAAACAGTTGTCAACTAGTAAGTGTATCTCATGACTTTATTCAAAAAGAAACTAAGCAGGTTAAACCCAACTAAGAGCACAGGCCCTGATAACATCCCGTCTAAGTTCCTAAAGATGGTGTTTCTGAACTGTCAATCCCTATTGCTCACATAATAAATCTTTTCAATCACCACTAATACAGTACCGGAGGGGTTCAAGGAGGCCAGAGTCACTCCTATCTTCAAGAAAAATAGTAGGTCTGATGTAAGCAACTATAGGCCTGTTAGTTTATCAGTATAATATCTAAAAATTTTAGAGAGGGCGGTGTATCCTCAAATAGTTAAGTTTCCTTAATGACAACAACATTCTCCATAGCTATCATTCGGGCTTTAGAAGATCCTACTCAACCGACACCCCCTTATTATCTGATGGATTACCTGAGAATGAAATGTCAAAGGGGAACCCCATAGGCATGGTAACCCTTTGACCTGCAAAAGGCCTTCGATACTGTCAACCACAATTTTATTATGGGAATAAACTTCAAGCTATTGGTATAGGTTCTTGTAGACTGGTTTAAGTTATACCTTAGCAACAGGAGGACAAATAGTCAAAATCAACAAAAAGAATCAGAACCCCTGCCGATAACATGGGAGTTCCCCAAAGGTAGTATTCTGGGCCCTTATTATTCTTATGTTATGTCATTTATATGCCTATCCCGTGTCAAGTGCCAACTCCTACTGGTATGCAGATGACAGTGCTCTGTTAGTGTCAGGTTAAAGACCCACAAGATATTGCTAATGTTTTTAAAACTGGAACTGGAGCCTGCAGCAAATGGTTAGTAGACAACAAAAATATCATTACACCTAGGGAAAACTGAAGCCATTTCTTTGGCACGAAACATAAACTGAGAAGGGTAAATAATTTTAATGTTCATGTAATGGGGAGCCCATCACTTTGGTTTCATCAGTAAAATATTTGGGAATCCCTTTGACCCATGCATGTCAGGAGAATTGATAGGGAAAAGTGTAGTAAAGAAAGCGAATGCCAAACTGAAGTTCCTGTATAGACAAGCACAGTGTCTACCTACTGAGGCTCGCAGGACCCTATGTCTAGCCCCTTTACAATGCCCTATGGATTACGCTTGCTCTTCTTGGTACTCTGCCTTGACAAAAAAATGAAAGATAGACTGCAAATCACCCAGAACAAAATGGTAAGACTCATCCTGGGGCTGGGACCAAGAGAACATGTAGGCCAGGATGAATTACAGCAGTTGATATGCTGAATGTTGAAGGACAGAGGGAAAACAACTGAAGCTAAATCATGTTTATAAAATTGCTCACAAACAAGTCCAAATATCTTGCTGTCAATTTTGTCAAGGTTGGGAACCAAAGCAATCATAGTACTAGGGGGAGAGAGCACAACTTTTGTAGTACCCACGTCAGTGGCCAGGCTTTTAAACACCTTTATGTACAGCAAAAGGAATGGAACAGGGCTACCCGCACATGTCAAAGCCAGTCATAGCGTGGAACCAGTTCAAGAAGAAGGGGCCAAAGGTGTCTGATGAATGTAGCTACAGAAAGGGAGGGGAATGATTTTCTATTTTTTAGCTAACATTTCGTGTAAATTTTACCTTATTCCTTGTAATGACCCTCGTATTGTAGATAGTCTTAATGACCTTGGTGTAGCAGATAGTCTTTTTAGTATGATAATAAGATGATATCTTTTATTTGTAGAATAATAAGAAAATATTATAACCTTTATACTATAATAATAAGGTAAAAGGACCCCAATGGAAATAAGTCACGCTGTCTGACTTTTTTGGGTTATCCTAGGTTCTCTACACATATGCTGCTATGTATGATAATTCTATGTAACTGTATTTGTGTATACCTGAATAAACTTACTTACTTACTTACTTACTTACTTAACAAGAGGCCATGGTGGTACAAGAGGCCAAGATGGTACAACAAGAGGTAGCAAGGTTTGCGTGATGGCTCTCTATCACAACAACAACAATAATTACTTTCACAAGTTCAGCTGTTATCTTGTAGTTGTTCTCATCTGGAGGATCACTTGAGTATTGTGTGTTGGTGTTGCAGGTAACACACACTCTCTCTCTCTCTCTTTCATAAAATTATATTAAGTAATAAGCTGTACGGGAGCCAGAAAACCGAAAATATTTGTGTTCCTTCGTTGCAAGTTTTCTCTCTTGTTTGGTTGCTCATGTCAACACAAGGACCTGTACATTGTTATACCTGTATATCATATCATTATTACACCTGCATATCATATCAAACAATGTAATTAATATTTTATGTGTGTACAATGCTAGTTCATGGAGAGGCTGTTGCTGGCCTCCCAACATGGCCGACACTACTTCACTAACATTATAATTACTCTTTAATAAGTATTTCTTTGGGGAATATTACTTGCATTGTTCAGAATTTAGTGAGATGTTATTGACGAGCGTATTGGGTAATTTACTGGTAGTAACTGACGACCATCCAGGAGTCCTACACCATTTATGGCTACTAGGTCACCCTCTACACTTATATATTTCCTGCAAAGTGCTTGATACTCTTGATACACTTTGTACTCTTGATACACTTGATGCTCTTGATACACTTTGTACTCTTGATACACTTTGTACTCTTGATACACTTTGTACTCTTGATACTTGATGCTCTTGATACTCTTGATACACTTTGTACTCTTGATACACTTGATACTCTTGATACACTTTGTACTCTTGATACACTGTACTCTTGATACACTTTGTACTCTTGATACACTTTGTACTCTTGATACACTTGATGCTCTTGATACACTTTGTACTCTTGATACACTGTACTCTTGATACACTTTGTACTCTTGATACACTTGATACTCTTGATACTCTTGATACACTTTGTATTCTTGATGCTCTTGATAAACTTTATACACTTTGTACTCTTGATACACTTTGTACTCTTGATAAACTTGATACTCTTGATACACTTTGTACTCTTGATACACTGGATACTCTTGATACACTTTGTACTCTTGATACACTTGATACTCTTGATACACTTTGTACTCTTGATACACTTGATACACTTTGTACTCTTGATACACTTGATACTCTTGATACACTTTGTACTCTTGATACTCTTGATACACTTTATACTCTTGATACACTTTATACTCTTGATACACTTTGTACTCTTGATGAACTTGATACTCTTGATACACTTTGTACTCTTGATACACTTTGTACTCTTGATACACTTTGTACTCTTGATGCACTGGATACTCTTGATACACTTTGTACTCTTGATACACTTTGTACTCTTGATACACTTGATACTCTTGATACACTTGATACACTTTGTACTCTTGATACACTTGATACACTTTGTACTCTTGATACACTTGATACTCTTGATACACTTTGTACTCTTGATACTCTTGATACACTTGATACTCTTGATACATTTGATACTCTTGATACACTTTGTACTCTTGATACACTTGATACTCTTTGTACTCTTGATACACTTGATACTCTTTGTACTCTTGATACACTTGATACTCTTGATACACTTGATACTCTTTGTACTCTTGATACACTTTGTACTCTTGATACACTTGATACACTTTGTACAACAGATTTCCAAGAAAATTTCCAAGACCGTAGGCATACTATCAAAGATACGGTACTATGTTCCACAGTCAGCCTTCCTGGCCCTATATCACTCCCTTATTTACCCCTATCTCACCTATGGAATTTGTGCATGGGGTGTGGAAAATTGCATTTATCTGAATGTATCCTTATGTACATAACAGTAAACGAACAGATAATTATTATTTATCAGTTAGACAAGTAGGAATTTGGGACACCTAGGTCGCAAAAAATGTCCCCCTTCGATACCTACCACTGTTATATCCACAAGTTGCTCTGGACCTATTAATCATAAATGAAATATACATCACCAGGAATGTTGGTAAATATAAAAATTTGTGGACTGTATATTAAATTAAAAAATGATTATATATTAATACACATTTATATAACAGAAGGAGAATATATCTTAATCATAACACTCACCAATTTGACTGGAAATCAAGGTGTATCATACTCAGAAAACCTCTGTCTATACATGAAAATAACTGGCCAGAGTTATAACATAACAGATTTATCTGAGGTTCCTGGAGCTGTCTTGTCCAGTCGCCTGATATCTCAAGTCATGCAGGAATGCACATCCAACAATTTCGCCTCCTATTTGAGAGGTGTCAGCCCAAATTTAACCTCTAGAGCACGAAAAATTCTTCCCATTACTCACAACGTCTGTTATTCAATTCAAACAAAATGGCGACTCCTTCTGCGCAGACGCAGGCTCAATTTCCCATTTTTGATAATTTTTATTAAATACAATATAGGCCATCTATTTGCCTATAAATTACCGTATTTCCGGAAAATAAACAGTATTTTCCACATGGGGCTCAACAACAATAAACCATCTCAGACCATTAATTACCCAACAAAAGGCTGCAGTCAAAATGATAACAAATTCCCACTACAGGCAGCACACTCCACCAATATTCAAAACACTAAACCTACTCACCATACAAAACATCCATACTTATTATTGCACCTACTACATACATAGAACACTTAACTCGGATATAAACCCTCCCCTCAAAAGTCTCCTTACTAACCTCAACAGAACATATGACCATAACACAAGGCACAGGTCACTCTTTGATGTTCCTCGTGTCCATCTCACACTATGTAAAAACTCAATGCACATAAAAGGCCAAAAAATCTGGAATTCATTACCTGTGAATATAAAAGAAACACTATCTGTTTATAAATTAAAGTCTCTTCTTAAAAATCACTTACTCACCCACAACTAAATAAATACTGAATAATTGTATCTCATAAATGTTTAACCTGTGACCCAATCAAACTTTGTTATTTTTAATTACATTACCTAACAGAATACTCCATTCTAATGAATGCTCAGCAACACAGTAAATGACCATATGACCTGTCTTTGTAATACTCATTTGTTTACAGCAATGTTTAATACTGAATATATCAGTGCTTAGTTAATCTTAAGTTAATTTTAAGCTGCTTAATTGCTCGCATTCATAGGGGCTGTGGATGGGTACACTAAACCACTGTATTTCTGTGTTACTTCGAGGTATATGCTCACATTAATAAATAAATAAAGTAGTGGATTACTATCTTGAGACAATTGGTACTCTGAGATACACTTTGTACTCTTGCTACAACTTTGTACTTCTTGATCAATTTGTACTCTTGTTACACTTTGTACTCTTGATTACTCTTGACACACTTTGTACTCTTGATACTCTTCATACACTTTTTAATCTGACACACTCTTCATACACTTTGTACTCTTGATACACTTGTACTCTGTTACTCTTCTGTACACTTTGTACTCTTGACACTCTTCATACACTTTGTACTCTTGATTACTATTCATGCACTTTGTACTCTTGATACTTGCATACACTTGTTACATCTTATTACTCTTGTTGATAAAGACCTGGTTTGACATACTCGATAATGCCCTTTATAGTAAGACCTGGTTATACACACTAATTATAATATTTTGTCATTACTAAGTTTTAATATTTAACGTCTTCACAGGATGCAACCAACGACTAGCGACTAGTCCCAAGTACCTACTTACTGCTAGGTGAGCATGGACAGCAGGTGTAAGGTAACATGCCAGTGTTGCTACCGATGCCAGTGTGAGTTAAGGACACTATAAGTCAAGCCACGAGCATTCACATCCTGTTTATTGCACCTACAGTTAATGCAGCCACTCACACCCCGAGCTGAGATCTTAGGGCTGTGATAAAATGGGTATTATGTCTTCTCTACATTGACAAATATAATATTATACTGGAAAATTCCCATGAGGTGAAAAAGGAGCGATTTTTTCATTATCGAATTCATCTAAATGCTGATATGTGTTTACACTATTGTATATATAGGCCCTATAAATCTAGCATAAAAATCAAGTGATAGGTATACACAGTATGTAACAGTACTTACTTAAAATATGTGCTGGCCGCCCTTCTCTTATCGCATGTTTTGTTTGAAAATGGGGAGACAATAAAAGCACAGAGCTTGAGCACTGGATCCGTTGATAGCCAGCCAAAAGTGTGGAAACAACCACAAAAGAGGGTGCTGTTATGTGGGCTCACTCTGTGTATAAACTAGTCATTGATATATATGCATAACCTCACATTCTGTAATTTCATTATTTATTATGATAGTGCTTAGAGTGTGGACTGTAAGTTTTTTTATATGCAGTTCTATTAACAATTGGAAGGAGGTAAGCAGTAATGTTGAATGATCTGTTTGGAAGGAGAAAAAGAGAATATGAATGTGTAATTCAAGAAGTATGTGGATTTAACAGGAAAATGTGTTGGAATGCGAGAAGTGGGTCATAATAGCGTGTATTGCACCTGGAAATGGAGACGACCCCCCCCCACCCCCCCCCCCCCCCCCCCCCCCCCCCCCCCCCCCCCCCCCCCCCCCCCCCCCCCCGCCGCGAGGAATTGCAGAGGACGAGAGAGATTTTGGGAGATGTTAAGTGAAGTATAGGTGACTTTGATCAAGTTGAGAGAGTAATTGTGGGAGGGGGGACGCTGAATGCATAAAGTGGGACGAACTTTTAGTTGAGGGTGTGGTAGTAAGTTTGGGGGGGCCTGGTGTACAATGTTAATGGGATCCCTTTGATTGAACTTTGTATAGAAAGGGTTTAGTTATAGGTAATACATATTTTAAGACAAAGAGGATAAATTAGTTTAAAGATATGATGTTAGGGCGAAATGACAGTGAGTTTGTTGGATTATGTTTGGTTAGATAAAGGATGTTGAGTAGAATTAAGGATGTACATGTTTATAGAGGGGGACAGATATATCTGATCACTTTCTCAGTTGTGCTATACAGCTGAGAGTAAAAGTTAGTGGGATACAAGGAGAATAGAAAGTATCAGGGACGGAGAGGTGAAGGTATATAAACTACATGTAGGAGGCAGTTAGGGTAAGATATAAACAGCTAATGAGGATAGATGGG